TCTCTCTCTCTGTCTGTCTCTCTCCCTCTCTCTTTCTCTCTCTCTATCTATCTATTTCTATCTCCATTTATCTCTTTTTCTTTCTCTCTTTCTTTCTCTTCCACTCTCTCTCTCCCTCTTTCTTTCTGTTCCCCTCTCCCCCTCTCTCTCTCTCTTTCTCTCTCTTTCATTGTCTCTTCCCCCCCTCCCTCCCTCCCTCTCCTTCCCTCCCTCCCTCTCCCTCCTTCCCTCTCTCCCTGGGACAAGAGCACGTGTGCACACATTACGTATTTGTGCTGTCTTACAAGATGTTGTTCCAGCTGCCTCAGGTCACAATGTGCTACAACAAGCTGCTTGTTCAATGTCGGAAAGAAAAGTAAACGATAAAACACCGTTCTATTAGCCTAATCAACCTTACCGAATATAGTAATAATAATATGTGTCGCAGCGCTGTGGAATCAGGCGCTCGTCAATTTTTTGGTATGAGGAGTTGTTGGTTTCATTTTAAAACTTGTTCAATTGCATTGCTTCGGAAGAAAAGAATGCCAGTCTAACTTGAACAGAGGTCGAGATACTTGCCATTGAAAGAGGTGGGGGTTGCCTGATTTCAGTGGTAAAATAAGCGAGAAAATGGCTGTCTAAGTTCGATGACTTCCAAAGCTTGAGAGTCCTAGGAAACTGAACATCTGAAATTTGGTGCGTTTAATCAGCCTTTTTCAGTAAAATCCTGACAGAAATGTGTTTTTATACAGACATAAAAGGTGTTGAGCTGAAACAAATTCAAGAAAAATGTCCAAACTGGCAGGAAAATGCCGGTTAATGCCTCACGTATGAACACATCTTGCTGGTCTCCACATCAACTCTATAAGTCATCAATCAGCTCAATGGCAAAGCCGGTTTTGAGTTTGGTGAAAAGACACTCCGTCTGATAGCAGTTTAACTGTTCTAAGCCCAGAAAAAACTAAAACAAAATAAAGCGAAACAAAACAAAACAAAGCAAAAAAAACTATTAAAAAAAAAGAATTGTTTATTTCTCTTTCTGTAGGATCGCTCTTGATGGTGTTGCTGTTGTTGTTGTTGTTTGACATTCAAATCAAATGCTCAAGTCCTGCCACTTAAATAACAGGTCAGTGTTGAAAAGCGCGCTCATATGACCTTAGCAGTTGCGAGCGCCGTAAAACCTTATACTATACATACATACAGTGTTGAAAAGGCAATAAACATGTACAATGACCTTGAGAGTGACAATACTGGTGGATTTTATCCTTTACCCTTTACCTTTCACACCACAGACGAGAACTCGATTCCGCAAACCACTTCACTGCCAGGCTAGAGAATTGAGTAATGGAGCTCTCGGAGGTCCCGTGTGCAGGTTGCTCACGTTAAAGATCCCTTGGGGGGTCCAAAATCGATAAGAGTAGGCTTTGGCCGCCACCGGGCAAAATTCAAAATTTCCTGCCAACTGAAAATATTTAATGTGTCCCGCGCGCAAGTATGACCTTTATACAGTTGCGAGCGCCGTAAAACACTTACAAATAAAAATGAGTGATGGAGCATGTCTATTGGCAAAAACGCATTCTTGCTTTTCATAAATCTCAGTTTATAGGCATTCGAATTTATTGGAGGCTTGTTTTGTTTTGTTTTGTAATTTAATTTTAGATGTTTGGTAACGTCGTTGTCCCTTCTTAACCAACAGGCCAATAAGCACCACCACAATCGATCCCACAATGGTAGAGAGACAGTGAGCTGATCTCGCGGAGACAACCTCTATGTTTAGAAGGAAAAAAACAACACTGCTGTGCCCTTCACACTTTACAACTATTTTTTTAATAATTCTTTTTCTCAGCCACTCAAATTTGGTGGATTGAGAAAAGAAAAAGGATTACCTACCTTTAGTGATTAAAGTCAAATAATCTAATCAGTAAAAAGCGGACCAGTTGTTTACATTGCTTAGATTTTCTTCTATCAACAAGTGCCTTGGTTTATGTAACAAAAAGTCTTAACTTTCATTGACTGTGGTACTGTCACTGATGTGCCATAAAAGTGCACTATAACGATTGAAAGTTTCATAAACTAGAGATTCACTTGATTGAAAATAGAAATTAAAAAAACAAACAGATTTGTTCATGTTTATGGGTTTTGTTCTCTCTCTCTCTCTCTCTCTCTCTCTCTCTCTTTCTCTCTCTCTCTCTCTCTCTCTCTCTCTC